GAACGAGACAACTCAAATTTATACCTTTCATCCCTATCAATATTGTTTATATCAAGCAGCTAGGCTATTTCAATTCAGTAAAAACACAAGTACGTTTTGAAAGTAACATTGATCATAGTTTGGGCTTAGTTGATTACTTGCAACTTGCAATGTTAAATTCAGTATTTAAAATTCAAAATGTTAATATCAGGATTTCGATTTTTTGACTGTTGGATGTAATTTTGTCTGGATTAGGTTTATTTGTAGAGGGTGGATTAAGCTGTGATATAATATGTGGAAGGAACCCCTAGATGAAAAAGATCCACTGAATGCCTTAAAAAGGTGGCATGTAGACAAACACTCACAGCCGATGAAAAAAACGCACATAATCGGAAAAAGTGGAGGCAGTTGGTAAGGCCAAATACCTTTTTGGGTATAAAAAGTTTTGGGAGTAAGAGGGTTATAAATAATTTGGGAGTAAGATTAAAAATAAGTAGGTGAAGTTAACTTACCTAAACTATATGCTGACAATTCTATACTTCCATCTACTCATTTATTAGCCAACTAAGACAAAATTGTTATAGGGAAATCTTGGATCGTTTATAATCACAAACATCCGTCTGGTCTGGTACGCAGAAATGAACGAGAACTTCAACGTCTCACTGCCATACATCTGTATAGCGACGGTAAGTAAATTACTTATTAGGTACTGCTTAAGATTTGATAGTTTTTTAAAGTAATTTATTCGCAACAATGTATTACCATTAACTATTGGATACTGAAGTAGACATCCCATCTATATGGAACAGCTGTTGCCATTTTTTTATTAAAAAAGAATATAGTTATGTGAGCCAGTCACAGAATGTGCTAGGGTCTAAAATTCCATTTCCTACCCTATTTATTGTCCCTAAGTTGATGGGTCATAAAAGTTGCCATAGTTCACTATAAGTCAATCCATTAGTTTGAGTTTGTTAAAAAGTCTGTATTCGACAGAAATTAGTGATTTAGATCTGCCTAACCTATCGGTAGCTCACATCAACTAGCCTACGACAATTTTGATTAAAAAACTTGCGACAACTTTAACATGGAAATGGAATGTCTAGTTGCATTAATAGTCAAAGGCACTACTCTACTTGTTTTAAGAGTAGCCTTCAGAGCACTCAAGGATCCACCCCTTTCCGTTGAATAAGAAAGTTTTAACTCACAATTGATAACTACGCAGGTTTTTGCACTGTTTTGTAAATAGATTGTCATCATATTATTCATAAATGATGTATTCTTGTCTTGGACATATTTACGATTATTTTTGTATAGTGTCTATGAAGTTCCTCTTTTATTGACAATTCCACATATTCATCGTGAAAGATTTTACCGATGTCAACACATACTACGCACTTTCCTGCAGATACGAGTGAGGGAGTCAAAGTTCGGACCAGCGCTGGTGGTGGAGAGCTGCGGTGTCAACGGTGGTTACGTGCTCGGCTTCCGAATCGACCCTCCGGCCAAGCTGCAGAGTGTTACGAGAGAGCTCATCTCACTGTACAACATCCATAGTCAACAGCCGGAGTTTGGCGTACAGTATTCACTTAGCGTCCAGGTGATGATGCTTAGGCTAAATTTATGGTAATGGTTTATATATTTTTGCAAGACGATGAAATCTGATCAAAGTTAGTTTAAGACCTGGTCCTGACATTGCTGATGTACATTGCAGACTCCCCTGACTGAGGAGGCTGCTGTAGTGGCAGAGGAAGTACAGGAAGTAGATGAATCAGCTGCTGAACTCTCTACCAGTCTGGCCACCTACTGTAGTGAAGGTAACTAAATACTATGCTACAGGTTCACGTTTTATGTAATACAATAAAAAACGTTGTCGAAATAATAGGTAGTTCAAATATAATGCTGAATTATCCTGGGTTTTCAAAGATATTAAACATATTTAATGATAACTGGGGTTTGATAAGAGGAAATATAAAAAACAAACTGGCATTGACTAAAATTGTACATTGTGTGTACCACACAATCTGGGCAAGGTCATTCTTCTCCTTCCTTACCACCCTTAAAATATCAACAACATAAATTTGCTATTGGATATCATCTTTAAAGTCAAACCAACCTTCAAATATTTTACTACTCGTGACTACTGCTGAAAATAACTGAGGTAAAGTGTACCGTTAAATTGACTGAATATATTTGATTCCAGCACAGTCACACAATTAAGAGTGTGACTTAATTTTCAACCCCTATCAAACTGATTTAATTTAAATTTTTGGATAGTCAATTATTTTCCCAGTTTCTTGGTGTTAGAATTATTATAGTTCGACTATACAATTTTGAATTTTATGGAAGCACTAGCTGACCCGGCGAACTTCGTATCGCCTAAGTTATAGGTTTCCCCTAAGACAGACCGATGGAAAGAAAGTACCGTTACGTTTAATTTTCAAGATGATCTCGTTCGCATCGCTCAATCACGTCCTGGTTGAAGTTCGTTCGCTACGCTCACTCACCTTTGGGTTGGAGCTCGTTCGCTACGCTCACTCACCTTTAGGTTGGAGCTCGTTCGCTGCGCTCACTTGCCTTCAGGTTAGCTCGTTCGCTACGCTCACTCGCCTCCAGGTTGAAGTTCGTTCGCTACGCTCACTCACCTTTTGGTTGCAAATTAGCTGTTGTCATAAATGTCAAAGAAATAATGGTGCTAGTGCTGCACCCTGTTGGTAATCCTTGTAACTTTAATGCTATTGAACATCATAGAACAGAACCAACTTGTTTAATTGAAACAGCTGTTAAGATTCATTAATTCCATTTCTCATAAGGTTAACATGGGAAACTCCAGAGCCACTGGGGCGGAGCCCTTTTAAGAATTTCGAAACGGGAAATAGTTTACGTCCGATTCGCATACCTACAGAATTTACACACCAAATTTCATAACGATCGGTGAAGTCGTTCCGGAGGAGTTTGCAGACAAACACTGTGACACGAGAATTTTATATATTAGATAGATGTTGGACTTAATTTTTATTTGGTTTCTAAGATTGATTTGGTCTTAAGTTTAAATGTATTTAGATACATTTAAGATTCAATTTGGATTGTTCATTTCTTCATCATTGATATATATATATATATTGTATCAACAAAGAGATTCAGGATGTTTTTCTATCGCAGGAGTGGACAAGGAAGATGTCGCGCCGGTATACAACAGTCAGCTGGGATTGGCTATAGAGCCGTTGCGACCCGGTTACACTCTCGCAGACTTGTGGCAGATCACTCCCCCTCCACCTCACAACCCTCACACACCCGTCTGATGTGGCACTAGACATTCCATTCTTGTGGTAAAGTTGTCAACAGTTTTTGAAATTGAAATGGACGTAATTTAATTGAACCACCAACAGATTGCGCTTAGGTAAAACACAGATTTGTATCAAATAGGCTAATTTTTTAACCAAATTGAACTGATAACTATCTATTGCAAGCCCCGTTTCTTTCAACTGACTCAGTAACAAAAGCTGAAATGAATCAGAATTTAAGACAGAAGCGCACTCTGTAAGTGGTACATTTTACTGTGTTTTTTATGTTTGACTAGCTGTACCCGCGGGCTTTGCCCCGTTTTACTTAATAAGTGAGCTCGTTCGCGTGGCTCAATCACGTCCTGGTTGAAGTTTGTTCGCTACGCTCACTCACCTTTAGGTTTGAGCTCGTTCGCTGTGCTCACTTGCTTTCAGGTTAGCTCGTTCGCAACGCTAACTCGCCTCCAGGTTGAAGTTTGTTTGCTACGCTCACTCACCTTTTGGTTGCAAATTAGCTGTTGTCATAAATATAAAAGAAATAATAGTGCTGCACCCTGTTGGTAATCCTTGTAACTTTAATGCTATTGAACATCATAGAACAGAACCAACTTGTTTAATTTCACTGAAACAGCTGTTAAGATTCATTAATTCCATTTAAATATGAGTACTCATAAGGTTATAATGGGAAACTCCAGAGCCACTGGGGCGGAGCCCGAGAGACCGATCAGAATAAAAAAAGCTTAGTTTTCCTATTTAGTGCTGAAAGAATCAGTGTACCAAATTTCAGCCTCCTAGGTAAATGGGAAGTGGGAGAATTAGTGATGAGTGAGTGAGTGAGTCAGTGAGGGCTTTGCCTTTTATATATATATAGATTAGAAGTATGCTACAGCTGGTCCATATATATACATGTCTGCTTCAGTAGCAAATGGTCAATTGTGTAACCAATCTGAGTGAAGGATTTGTTTGGGGGGGGGGGGGGTGTATAACTATTCCCAGCTACTTCTACCCCTTAATTCTGTCCATCGGTCTTAGGTTTCACGGCGAATCCTAACTGTACAACACTAATTACTTTCTTTTCCTAAGCCTCTCGTTTGCCCTAGTAATGTCAACGTTCTCTGAGCTATAGAGCCGGTTTCAGCCCCAAGTGTTCAGCGAATTTCACCTCTGTCGCAAATATAGATCGATCTGTTTGGCTAAGCCTATTCTAATGTATAGAATTTAAGGTTAAAAAAATGCAGTAATCCATGGAGAGTTTTGGGGTTACTGTTTTCCTTCGGTCCTTGGTTGGTCAAGAAATATTCGCACAATTGTACCGATTTGTTTAGTTTATAAGAGTTTGGTCCAAGATTTCTAAACGAGAGGGAGATTGTTTATTTGAGATAGGCTGGTTTAAATCCCCATCTCAACATGCATTTTGTTTATTGGAGCAATTTTTGAATTTTGATCAACAACTTTGTAATTAGGTTCAATGTACGGTACACTTAAATCTATTTTGCAAATTTATCGTCACTTAACCGAAAACAATCCCTGACCGTGGCACATATGGAAATCAATTAATTTCTAACTCTGATATTTTCATATGGCTCACCTGACAATGATCTTCTGGTGACATATTTTCCTGTGGCTTACTCCACCGTATTTTAATGTGGCTCTGGTATCAACATTATAAATTGCCGAAGGCTAGATTGTTGGGTTATTATGGTAATAACGCACAGTTATAACAATCAAGATAGTGTTTATTATAAATTATATACACATATAAAATGCATTTTAGTTGTAACCAGTTAAACATGTAAAAACAAAAACGAAACATTAACATACAAATTTGTAACAATTAGCCATGTGGTTTTTAGGAACAAACTATTTTAAGTATGGCGTTAAACTATAAATTACAAACATTAACTTATAAAATGTATAAAACCTAGTTACTAGTTCAACTTTGTTTTATGACAACATTAAGATTGACTTAATTATGTGGTCTTTGGATTCAAGGAATAAATTATATTTGAAATATAGATGGGTGTACCTTCACTTTAAAATCCTTTTCTTGCATGTTAGTATTATTTTTCAGTTATTTTTTACACAATAATATTTTATATTATTCGGGGTTATCAGTTATTTTTCTTCTACTACATAATAGGTATCTATTATGTTTTCTTCTAATTCTCACTACATCTCCGATGGCACTTAACGTACTTTTTTATGATTCAATGCAAAGCTACCAACCTTTATGATTACTAATGATTGCAATGTTTAAATTCTTGGCATTTTTACATGATTCCATGTACATTAGTTTGCGAGTTAACTTATAATTGTTGAAAATATATTCACTATTTTCATGAGCATTCACGATAAATGGTCAATAAATTGTAGACAAAATTTTTTGAAATCAACTTCAGTAAATGTCTTCTTGTGGATTTGTTATTTAAATATGAGCAGTCTTGATTATCCACATATCTAAGGCTTGTTATGATTACAGCACTTATAGGTTCAAGACAAATATAATAAGGATACTTAATTGATAAATTTTAAACAAATCAAATAACAAACTTACAAAATTCGAGTTACGTGAACGTCTGTAAGCACCGTAGAAACCTTTCCTTAAAAATATTCTTTGTGCCTCAAAGGCTTTGACTAGGCAAGAACCCCTTGTGAAGTCCACTTCTGGGAAAATTAACGATTCTAGTAGAACCGTTAACCTCCGTCCAAGAGTGTGGCGCTCGTCAGCAGGTTGCTGGAGACATGTCTGTCCGTCGCAGAGATGTCTCAGTCATTGGAAGAGTCGTGCACGGTGGTACCACTGGCGTGTCAGGTCCCGCTCGCTCATGGTTGGCACCCGTGGTTTGCGCTCGGGAGTGATTGCTTGGCCTGTGACGCTCAGCCCTTCGACCCACTCCTCCTCGGTGAGGCTGGAGACAAGAGTTTTCAATTTTCCGCTAAATTCGTTCAGTGTGAAATTTTATCTTACAGAAGTAGCCTAGAATTAAAAATTAGACATGATAGAGAGAATTTCATATGGGGGGAGTAGGGAATGTAAAGTAAAGAGAATATAGCAGAGTTTAAGCTTGAGAAATTATTTTTAGGGATATTTTATGAGTAAAATAAGGTAGGAATGAGAAGATCAGAAGAGGTAATGACAACTTCGAAGAGAGGCAAAAGTAAGACTTAGAGATGGTTTGGATGATGAGAAAGGAAGCAAGAACTGAGAAGGATTCTTATGAAAATAGAGGTTATACTGACTCAGTAGGGGTAAGGAGATAAGACCTGGAAGAAGGCCAATAGAAGAGGTGAAGAGGAATGTGGCAAAGAGTGGAGTGAGATGGTGGAAGGAGAGGAAATGAGGAGGGATAGGAAAATACAGAATAGCGTAGTTGATGTAATAACCATTATGAGAATGAATGTGTATGTACGAAATTGAGAGACATATCTAGTATGCACTATATTAAATACCAATATTTTCAATATTTTTTTTTAGAAAAAAGGAATTAACTCATAACCTGAAAGTTTAGAAACTAAACAACAAATACAAGTAACCGTTTACTTAAACCAAAGTTTGAATCTAGTTGGAAATTTAAAAGGTTTTTTTTTTAATAAAGCTAACGATTTTGAAAACCCACCTGCTCTTGTGCAGACTGATGTTGTGTTCTAGGATTTCTTGGACTTGGACAGAGCCGGGTCTCGACGGGTCTTCTTGACACCTCCCTCCTCTCTGTCAAGCACAAACTACGACCGCTTTAACACAGCTACTCAACCAACAGATATGAATCATGTTGATGTTATAATTACTTTCAGAAACCTGATAGTAAAGTTCTTCAACTAAATTTAGTTTTTTGACGGATAGTCATGTGAGAAATTTTGAGTTTTGAGCCTTCAAGCTTTATCCTAACAAGCTGGCTTTGTTAACCCAATGACACTTTCACAAGTCTTGACAACCCCCAAACTTAGATACCTCTAACACCTTTCATCCGATCCATTTCAATATCCAGCCTAACAAACAGGCTTACCAACTTATTCACATCTATATACGTAAATATAAAATTAATTAAAACTATGTTTTAATGTGTACATATTGTCAATACTGTTTCAACAACTCTCTGGCAACCCTTAGACCTGAATTTGGTTAAGTTACCATAAAACTCTTTCTTTCTTAGTTGAAAATGTGGTTAGTGACAGTGGAGTATTCCAATGTCTTGTGTATATAGTGTAAAGTTGTCTGCTTCTTGTACCAGTTTGGACTTTTCCCATTCAGTTAGGCCTGTTTTCCTCACAAAAGTCCTAAAAACCAAGGCCCTTGTGCTCTATGTTACATTCTTAGTTAATCCTACGTATCGGATAAATCTTTACCTTGCTGTTTTTCTTTTGTCGAGCAGTGCTGGGTGTGAAGTTGAAATCAGGTAGACTTGCTCGCTTCTCTGCTTTTATTTGATCAGTGGATTTCTCGGTTTCTGAAATACAACAGTGTTGATTTAACATTTACCCATCTCATATGGTGAACAGATTTATCGAATATATTCTAAGCCCAAAAGTTTCCATTTTAAGGATTCATCCACATTGAATAGAAGACATGTTCACCTACCTTGGTGGGTCTTCAGCAGCACTTTCCACTGACTAGTGTCGGGTGGAGGGTGTTTGCTCGGCGGGGGGAGTGCGTGATGACCTCTATGACCCCGCTCCGGGGGCCCGTCTTCTCCCAGACCAGAGTCTGACTGGCTAGTAGCAGGGCCTCGCTGCTGGTTACTGGATCATCAATTCAGATTAGGAAGTTCAAAATATGAACTAATATTTAATTTTATGATTTGTTTACACAATTTTAGAATGATTTTGAGATTATTAAACTATTTTAAAATAAAATAAATAGACACAATAAACAAATAAAACATGTTTACTAACTACTGTATTGCTTCTCCTATGATGATTTAACTTTTAAAGTAAAGCACAAATCTTAACTTTACCCCAAAATAAGCAAAACACATTCACTTGTCACCAACAAACACCCATAAATACAGGTTTCAGAAACTACAATTGGATGATAAGTCTAATTGTCACAAAGCATATGGTTTACCTGAAGCTAAGCCTCATCTCGACGTCAGGCGGTGGTTGTGTAGGGTTGCCGCTACTACCTGCAAGTGTCACCGTCCAACAAGCTGTAACAGTGGAGAAATTATCAAATCGCTTCAAACAACAGTAGTTGATCAATAGTTTCTACAATAATTTTAGTTGTGGCTCGTACAGATTTGTTTTTGTGACATTCTGAACAAAATGTGAGGATGTCAAAAAATTTTAATTTTAAATTTTCAGAATCTATAAGACATATAACACTCTTGTATCACTCAGTGATAACGTCTTCTTTTTTGTCCTAGGATGCTAGACTCTAGCCCGGGATTATTTTCACATTACTTCAGGCTAGACTTATGGGTTGCAACATTATCATTTAGATAAAATCCAGTGGGGATCCTTTAAGGACTGAAGTCCTGTGCTCTACCTGTTAATAAACCAAGTATTTCTGGTTCAATACTGGCTCTCAGCATCTTACTGTATCACTATTCACCACTGGCTTTCTGTGACTAGTACTGTTATGGTAGGCATACTTCTCGCTACAGAATACTACACGGATCCGTATTCTAATAATGATAGACAAAAAAGAGAGCAGATGTATAATATTAAGAAATCAGTGCTTTTGTTTTTTTTTTTTTCTAAATAAAGAGAAATTGACTTATAGTAAATGCATATCCTGAGACTTTGTCGTCTTCCCCCTAAATTCTTGAACGCTTTTCCTTCCCATCTCCTTGAAATCCTATGATATCACAAACACTTCACAATTCTTTAGTCACAAATTTAACACAGGTTTAGCTCACCCTGGGGGTTGGCTGGCGCATTGTTGGAAGCAGCACGAGTGTGTAGATGGCGTGAGTGCGACCTACGTTGTAACTGGCGCGACGGCCACTTTATACTAGGTAGAGTGGGGCTGTCCGCAGTCACTGACGTTGAGGAAGATTGCGACAGCTCTGAACAAGCAACTTCCCCTGATCCTGGCGTAACAGATGGTCAGTGGTTTTGGTAAAAGGATTTTAGGATTAGTATTTTAGGTTTTGAAAAGAAAATCTAAGCTTTGCAGTTTGCAACGGGTAACCTGTTATGCCTGTATCACTAGTTATACAATTGAGATAATTCAATGTCCTCGACTAATTTGATAACCTCTCCTATGTGATTTTGTATTTTTCCATACACATCATGACTTTTGAGGAAAAGAATATCAAAATTGTTATCTTACTTGTGCGCTACTATAAATCATTGCCCTTGCCAAAGACAGATTGGTTTATTGACTATTTTAGTTTTATTGTTAAATGCTTCTGTTTCTTTGAGCGTAGATTGTAGTAGTGTAGTTTTTTTATATAAGACGAAGTTAGCTTTACAGTTGCAACACATTTAACGGAAAGCGGTCCGTGCCCATGTTAGTTTTGTGGATGTGCCAGGAATTGAACCCGTTCCTCCCGCACCGAAGTCTAAGACGATAACCACTAACAACACACCCAAAGTTTTGTTAGTGGCTAAGATTGTTTATTAAACCAGGACCATTTACCAAAAGCCGAATGATCATATATAGCATTTTTAAAGTTATTCTTTGGGTATGAGTTATATCACATGATACAAACTCGAACAAATCTTGGAGCAAATTCGCCTGTAAATGTAATGACAAAACTGTATAACTTTGTTTCGGCGTGTGTTGATATTGATTTGTTTGGCTGCTCTTTGAGTTTATTCCGCGGGCGTGTGCTAGGGGTGCTGGCTGACTGAGTGATTGTACTGTGTTGTGTTTTTACACGGCACTGTGCCGTATTGGTCGGCCGGCGCGTTTGGTGCACGCTTGCGGGTTGGACTTGGCGAGCTGGCCTGCGGATTAGTGTTGGCATACGTCCCAACTGGTTGCTTCTGCTCAGAAAACTATACAATATTTTTTTAACCGTTCTCTGAGAGTTTTGTTTTCGCTACTTTATTTATTTATATGTCTGTTTATTGTTTTTATGAAATGTTATTATTATTATTTATTGGTTGTTATCTTGTCTTAGTAGTTAAATATTATGTAAATTGTGATGTTGTACCTACCAAGAAGACTGCATGGACTTTCTAAAATGGACTTAAAGATTAATGCTGCATTGTAATTGGGCTCTATGCCTGTAATGTAGTATTGCCATTATCTAAATAAATAAATATATTTTTGATACTACAATTTTTAACTCCTCTGAGAATAAATAAATTAAGTTAATTCCATGTGTTGTGTGTTCTGTGTTGTTTGTGTGTGTGTGTAGTTTCCTCTAGTGTTATCTTTATTCAAGAGGGTTCACCGATTAACAAACACCTCAAAATAAACACTCTTCATAGCCTACAGCTGTTTTGTATCAGAGGCTCAGGGGTTCAAAATAGAGTTGCCGTGAGAAAAAACTGGTTGAAAAAATATTACTGTGGGAATTAAATCATTTACTATTCTTCTGGGAGTTTTATAATCAAAACTATTTTCTAATTAAATGAAAAAATTCATATACTTACTAGCAAAATAAGTCTTCTCCGTCTGTAGTTCGTGTTTCATCGACGACAGCTTCATGTACCTCAGATTCTGGTCATTATCAATCTGAACTTTTTCTCGCTTCTCCGTCTTCTCTGGCTTCTTTCCGTTCTTGAACTTATCGTTCCGTTTGTTTCTACTCTTGGGGTTGATCTGCGGCAGTTCTGGCTTGAGGTGGGGAGTGTCTGGCAGGGGAGGGGTGGTGGCTGGGGAAGATGTAGGGGTGATGTCTGGGAGTGTCAGATCGGGGGAGAGAGAAGGAGTCTTGAAGCTCTTGTTCTGGTCGCAGATGTTCGGAAGTTTCCCCGCCTCTGGACAAGTTTCGGGAGAAGCGTTGATCTGAACGGTGAACTGATGTCGAAGGTCTTCCTCTGACTTGCCGACCACCGTGACAGTCTTCATTAAAGGTGTGCTTCGCTTTCTGTCCTCCCCTCGGCCATCTTTCGATCCTGGGAAAGAAACAGGTTTAAAACCATAAACTTGAGTTTTAAACTATATAGAAAAAAAAAACTTTTGACATTTTCCTTATGATTAGAGTGCATATTATTACAGTTTATGTCAATATTATGCCAATCTTTAGTGGCTTTTCACTTTGATATTAACAGTTTTTGATTATTGATTATTGATAACTACTGAGGAGAATGTAACATTTCTTAACACTATTTTACCATTTTTTACTCAACATGGTATACGAGACTGACTCATATCACAAGACTTTCATTGTAATCATGATTATTGTAACTGCTTTTAAAAAAAGATGAGTACCGTAGTCTAGTTTCATGGGGTTTTCCAGTATTCATAGTTAATACATATTTATCGATTCAATTGCTTTGAACCATAATACTTACATGTGGAACAACACCATGCACAATTAGTGTGATTGATATTTGCACTGGTGCTTTTGCAAATAGCATTCATAATATTTTTTTAATTATTATTGACACAATTTACTACGAGTAAAATATGAATAGAAGACTTTTGATTGAATTACCTTCATCAGCGTTGCTGCCGTCAGAGTTGAGGTCTTGGCTGTCTCCCAGCAGGTAGAAGTTGATCCATCCTTTAGACAGAGTGAGCAGATCTTCTGATTCTCCTTCTGTCTGAGCCACAGCCAGTGCTTCTCTTCCCTTGGACGCATCTCCTCTCAGACGCTCCAGCTGTTCCTCAACAAGAGATCTCTCGTCTTTCTGCACCTGAGTCTCTTCATTTATCGGCCGGAATCGCCCGAACATAACTCCCGACTGTTTCCCAAACACTCGCCCCTTTAGCAACGTCCCTCCAAGCAGATTGAGCTGTTTCAACATTGCGTCGCTTTTCGAAAGTGATAAACTACCGTGGATCGTGTGCCTTCTCGAGTGCTCGTTTTTGTCTTGATTATTGACTTCGGTTTTTGTATTTCTAGTGAGATTGCCATGGATCGTGTGTCTTCTGGGGTAATCGCCTTCACCGCTTTGGAAGTTGCGAACACATTCATCGTCTTTTTTGTCGGAACTGCTTGTGCTGCTGTCGCTACTTTTGTTTTGACTGTGAGCGATATCTTTCAGTATTATCTCAGACGGCATTGAGGCTCTTCTGCCTCTTGTTGGTTTCGGGGATTTTTTCTCGTCGTTTGAAGACTCGAAGGACCCGCTTTTTTCTTCTGGAATCACTTCAAATTTTTGTTTGAATCTGGTACCCAAGTTTCCTGGCCTGCGTGATGGTGTTGATTTAACGTTGAATTTTGGGGTAGGTTTGTTGAGCTGCTTTTCTAGTTTTGTGATATTGTCCGTTTTGCTGTCAGGCCTCTCTCCTAAAACTGGTGTTTTGCATCTTTCTTCGTCCTTTTCACTTGTGACATTCAGAATTTGTATTTCAGACTCGCAATTTTCATGATTAATTCTCGGTGAACCAGTTAAATTTAACTCAAGTTTATTACTTGGGTCCTCAAGTAAAGGTTTATTTCTGTTTGGGTTTTCTTTTTTACTTTTTGACAATTCGCTGCTGTTGTTTAAAGGTGTTTGAACAGATTTTGATTCAGTGACTGCATTACTAATAACGTCACTATCAACAATATCTTGCACAAGTATGTCTTCAGACACTTGTACAAACATGTCCTTTGAAAAAGGCACTTGGTGGTCAGCACATTTCAACTTTTTCCCGCCTGTTGAATCGATCTCATTTTCATCGTTTGAGTTTTCAATAAGTAAATGTGATATTTCTTTGTCTACGTCAGAATCAACATGAGGCATATTTTCACATTGTACCCATTTATTTTGTAATCTTTGAACTTCTTTTGCTTTTGTTTTAAATCTTGGACTTGGTTTCTTATCAGTTTTTCTTTTTGTTGTTGCAGTATTTTTGTTATTTTCTTTGTCATTTTCATCATCAACCGTTGCACTACTGTTTACCGTCTCCAGCCAGCAGTTTAAGTCGTTTTGTTGATCGTTGTCTATAAACTCACATTTGCGAGGGGATGTGGAAACATCTTTAAGTTTGTAGTCTCCTTGGAAAATAACGTCTTTGTCTTTTTCCGAAGAATCTGAAGGCACTAGGGTGTCAGAAGAGTCTTTACTGGAGTCTAAATCCTCCCATTGTGTAAATTTTGACATTTTCCCAGAAAATTCGTCAAGTGACCTCGTTTTGCTACTACATTTAGAAGAAAGATCACCAGCGGATGAACAACAGTGGTGGTGTTGTTTTTTACTTTTCTTCAAACAGTTTTTACCTTTACACTTATGAGCATGGGTTGATAATTGATCAGAGTGTTTCTTTACTTCCAACCCTCTTTTCAACAACTTCTTTTTCAGTTCTTCAGGAATCTGTTCTACTTTTATTTCACCTTCCTCACCAGTGATTGATAAAAAGTACGCTTGTGATTCCTTGGAGGTTTTTTTGGGAGCTTCACTTTCTTCAGGTAGAAGAGTGATTACGTCACCCCTGACTAGCCTATTGTCGTATTTATTGTACAGTTTTAATCCTCTGTTCTTATCGTCACTTTTACTATCCTCCAGACTATCGGCCAAGCTCAAGTCACTGTCACTGGAACAGTCCATTGAGGAAGTGTTGACTATCATTGATAGAGTACGAGGTAGTGCAGAAAATCTTGGAATTACTAATTCCTTACCGGGAATTTCCCAATATGTACCTCCAGCGACGGAGCCCATGGTAGTTTCTTGGTCAACGAGTTTACCATTCTCGTTATCAACCGATATATTGCATTCTAAATCATAGTTTTGGTTGGTTTTCATTGGTGGACTTGATGTTTTTCTACTGGTCAACAAATTACATGGCTGGGGTCCTAGTTTGTCTTCTAAAGCAGGCATGACGTTCCCTTTGAAATTACCTTTTGCAGCATCACTACATTTTGAAATTACTTCATATTTTATATTGCCACAGAATTTATCCTGTGTATTTTCACTCCTAAGTTCGACGGTTGTGTTGGCAATGGTCACATCAGAATTACGATCTAGTATAGAACAAGTTTCAGTAAATCCCAAATTTTCCAACATGTTTGATTCATCGGTTGACTCGTTTATGGCAAGTGAGTCCATTTCAAAATCGTCTCTAGAGCATGGTGTGTTTATTTCAAGCGAATCAGGATTGAAACCGGATTCATCTTCTGTCATATACATATAGTTGGTTTTATAGTTTTTACTTGGCTTATGACTTATGTTTGCATTTTGAATTTTCTCACTTGATGATTGTGTTTTGCTTGACTCTGACTCTGTCATATACAAATAGCCTTTAGTGTAGTTTCCAGCAACATTTTTTGAAATATCTTTTTTGTTTTCTGGTGTTGAAACTTTGGTGATGTCCGAGGAGTTGGACTCGGTCATGTATAAGTAATCAGTGGTACATTTTCCACTCTTATTTTCTCCAAGATAGCTCAACCCCTTGCATTCTCCATCTCCTTCACTCTGAGACAAACGTTTAGTTGTTGGCGTTGATTCAGACTCAGTTATGTAAAAGTTACTTGTAGCATTTCTCCCACCTGTTTTCTTATTTTTGTGATATCTTTCATCTTCTTGTGATTTTGATGTACTTGATGATTCAGTCATATACAAATAATTTGTAGTAGAGTTTCCAAAAGCTTTCTGATCAATAGCTTCTACTTCACTCTGTACGTCTGTGACTTTATTTCCTGACAAATCTGATTCAGACATATACAAGTAATCAGTGGTAAAGTTACCACCTTGTTTTGAAACAGCTGTATCTTCTTTGACAGGAGTTGAAGTTGTTGTTTCCTTAGATTTTTCTGATTCTGTCATGTATAAACATTCAGTTGCATAGTTAGATGATTTAACAGTTTTAATATTCCTATTCTCTTCTGATCTACATGTATCTGATGGTGATTCAGATTCTGTCATGTACATGTAGTTTGAAGAATAGTTTCCTGCATTCTTGCGTTTCTCAAACTTTTCTTCTTTGTCTACCTCTCGCTCTTTAGTATCGGATGATTCTGTTTCGGTCATGTACAGATAATCAGTTGCACAGTTTCCGGCACTTTTCGTAGCAGTTTCAAGTGCCTTTGGAGATTTTTCATTTTCTTCCTCTGTTTCTAATTCCTCTTTATCATTCCCTTCCTTTATGTCAGTATGTTCTTCAGTGTCTGTACGTGCTGTTCCTCTAGTGTCCAGAGAATCTGACTCTGTCATGTACATATAGTTTTTCGTGTAAGTTCCAGCATTCTTCCTAATCAATTCTGATCCCTCTTTTACATTTGAGTGTACCAATCCAGTAACTTCTGATGAATCGGATTCGGTTATATACAAGTAATTAGTATTGTAAGCTCCAGTAATGTCTTGATGAACTGAAGTTTCTTTGATCTCAACATCTTTACTCTCTGAAGCTGAGGTTCTGCAGGTGTCCGGGGACTCAGTTTCTGTCATATACAAATAGTTTTTCGAATAGTTCCCTCCGTTCTTTTTACTTCTTTTAGAATTTTTCCCATTGTTCACCGTTTTAGTTAATCCTGACGATTCAGATTCACTCATGTACATGTAGTTGCTTGTGTAGTTTCCAGCTTTTGGTTGGTCGTGACCAGCATCTGTAGTGTCTGAAGACGTAGTTTTAGGTGCTACGGACGATTCAGATTCAGTCATGTATAAAAAGTCTGTTTTATAAGCTCCTGTTATATTTTTATTAACTCTATGGTCTGTATCTTCCGTTGGTGTTGATTCGGTTTCTGTCAGGTATAAATGACTAGTTGCTTGATTGCCTGCAAGTTTTTGATTACCTTCCATGTTTGTACTTGTACTACTAACTGAACCTTGTGTCAATCCAGACTCGGATTCAGAGATATATAAGTAATGGTCTGCTTGATATTTTGCACCACCTCGAAGAGTTTGAAATATTTCATTTTCTTTGATGGTTGATAAAGGTTCAGATAATTGAGTGTATATGTCCTTTGTCATTGTTATCTTATTGTTGTTTAGCTCTAAATACGTCTGGGAAGTAATTGATATTTTTCTCTCTTCTTTTTCTTCGGTATTTTTGTTTATGATTTTATTGTTCGATAAATTTTGAGGCTCAGGTACTATGCCACTTTCACAGCTTATTACAGCGCTTATTAAATCCAATGGTTTTGGTTTTACATCGAGATTAGATTCTGATTGATGAGTTGAGTCTTTCTGTTTGCTCTTAGGTGAGACGTCTACAAGTGTCGTTTCAGAATCTATGACTAGTATCGGTGAAATATTTATGTTTGAACACTTTCCTTTGGATTCGGCACTTTCCGGAGTAATTGACGTTAAACTGACCGTCGAGTCTTGAGTTGACGTCGTTCTATCGCTAACGGTTTGGTCGAGAGTCATAGAGCTAGTCGTAAAGTCAGTTGACGACTTTAGTTCATTGGATGACATCATTTCAGGACTCGTAAAACTACATGATTGTGATCCAGAATCGTCGAGACTGCAGCACTTTCTTCCCTCGGCGTTGCACGCTTCGCAGTCCGTGATGTAGCACTCACTCAGCATGTTCCCTTGGGAGTCGTACGTGTGACAGGTCGGGGCGGGAGTGGGAGTGCCTTCGGGAGACAGGGATTGTTCAAAATGAAGTTGTTGTTCTATCGTCAACTCTTCCGTGAATATCTGATCGTGGTGTCTTTCACCAGGCGGACTAATTCTCTGATTGGATTCCGCATGTAATCCATTTGAAATATACGATGATTCTATTCTCGAACGTGATGTTGATAGTTTATCATGTTGAATATCACTTTGCATCAAACTGGACAAGTTCTCGTCCAAAGTGTTATCAGTCTCGGTACACTTGTCTTGATCTAGCACCACCGAGTTTCTAAGTTCAGAATCATAGTTTTCAACATCGTCTTCTGAGACTTGAGGACTGTCGTGAGGATCTAGGATTAGATCGGGAACTCTGAGGAATCTCGCGGACTCGATCACAGCTCCCGGCAAATTGAGCTCGTTGTACACTTGGTTTTGGTTCGCGCTGACATAATCGAACACTTCCTCACTCGGAGCCAACTCTGAGTTGGAACTGTGCTTGGACACCTCTTGTGAAGGTATAATGTTGACGGTTGGGACGGCGCGATGACTGTCTGGCGCACTGGTCTGACAAGCCTTGTGACACATGCGCCGCACCGCTCCACTGCTGGTGCCGATGCTAGGTACCGACGGCGTCGGTGCGGTCACAACGTCCGACGCTGAGGTCTGGGCACGACTCAGCGTGTATTTGCGCATCACAGTCTCAGGCACAGAGTATCGTCTGTATGGAAGTCCCATCCTCGGCGCAGGCTGGTCCTTCTTGCCTGTCCCCATCACATCTGCGGCAACTTTGGCGGGCTTGTCCCTCTGCTCACTGGAAATAAAAATTTGTTTTAGTTGGATGTTTGAATTGTGTGTTACAATAAAAGTGTTCAAGGTGTATTAGTACAATATATTAAATAAGCTTATATGTTACTGACAATTTATAATTATTCTAAAAAAGGCCGTACAAAAACAGTTGAAGAGAAATCATAAGAGTTTAAATTACTGAGCCTAAGAGTTTTACTGTAGCCGTTGTATTTTCTGTAAAAGTGTACTAATATGCCGTAAACTCTCAGAGAATTTTTATATTCTGTCCATTCCAGCAAAATATCAGCACTCTCCTGATAATGATTAAATCTAAATCACTCCTTTATAAACAACTTGTTAATAAAACATGCCTACAGTAACAATCTGTTTTAGAATGCAATTAATTCAAATCATGATATGCTTAAATTTCTTATATTTGAATTTAATTTTTTTTTAATTTTGAATTGGATAAAAAACTGCACTTGGGAGGTCAGAGGAGTTTCATTTATATAAAATCCAAACCATATTACAAGTGTGCTTATAAATTAAAAATTGTTAATATTTTTTTTATTTTTAACAGTTAGTTATGGTCTACTAATAAACATATAACACATAAACGCATAAATATCTTTTAAATAGCTTAGGTACTGTATTTGATCCAAATTAAATCACAATAAAATGTGCTTGGTTCTTAAATTTAAATTTTTGATGCTGTCTTTTCTATCTAACAATCTAAAAGGGGCAAGGTCAGAACATAGTGATATACCATGGTAAATTTGTATACAAACAAAATTTCCAATGTAATGTAGCTAAATAGCAGCTCAACCGTAACACATTCAGTAAGGATATCAGTAGATTATTATTGGAGCCTCTTAATGTTAACTATTTTATTCGTCTCATCAAGTAGGTTAAGGGTGTTATTTCAACATGATTGAGTGTGAGACGAGGATGAAAGTTTGATACTTTCTAGCAGTTTGCATCAATTAACAACGATGCAGATTCACCACTCAACCTACAAGAGGTTGTGGATGGATAGTCACAGTGTTAAACAATATAAGACAACAGTGATAGAAATAGTGATATAACAAGTGTAATGCAAAGATTACACATTTATGATACCGTTCTCTTCGTTCAAAATCATATTGTATTTTAGTGAATTATGCACATTTTGCAGCAGGATGTTCCATCATCAGGGTATATAATGTTGTAATCCATATTCTATCATACGCCTTCTATTAACATCCTCTAATTAAGAGTAAATTCTGCTGAAGACGTCACAACCCGTGCCTCAAAATTAATTCAAATATGGTTTTTATGCATGGGCGGTAAAAATCTTCTGCAGGAGTTTTGGCAAAGGTCAAATGTGGCAAAAATGTGACATTTACCGTCTTGTATGATATTACAGTATATGTAACTGTAAATTAAAGAGTATTTATGGAAACCATGTTTTCTAACTACAATAAATCTTTATTGTCAAGATGTATTTCTTTGACAAAAAATTTATTAATAAAATTTATAATTTTTCCAAATTATTAAAGTTTACACTTGCATTCAGATATAAGTAGCTTTGTCATAAATAATTTGATAAGATTTTGTGAGTTAAAACAAGTTTGATTCAACTTTCTGATTACTCAGAAAGTCAATCAAATGTTTTGAGCTAACAGACATTTATACGATTTTCTGAGTCAACAAAAATGTTACCTGTACGATTTTCTGAATGAACACAAATTAGATACAATTTTCTCAACACAAATTAAATAGGTATACAATTTTGTGAGCCTACAATGTGGTGTGGTACAATAACAATGTGTAACAGACATTGGTTACGATTTCCTGGGTTAACAGACATGCAATTTACTGAGTTGACACATATTTCATACGATTTTTTTATTGAGTACGGTTTTCTGAGCTCACACAAGTTTGACTTACAATTGATAAAGGTAGCGGTAGGCGAACATGGCCTCAGACTATGGCTAGACGGGCGCAGAGTGTGGAATTTGGTCGCTAAAACTGGCAATGATCCGTCCCGTCCCTCTTCCCATCCCCTCAGCCAGAGATAACACAGAAGAAACCCACCTAACGCTGTCTGGAATACTGTTCCAGCATACAGACGTTTTACCTTTGCCTACATACACGGGTTTTTTACTGTACCGAGGATAGAAAATCTAAATAACGTAATTTTTTGCTTTAGCCTGCTAATATTTAGTGGAATCTCTTTTTTCACATTTTATGCTAACTGGGTTGGGTACATTGTTGAATTGAAATGGTTCTAAACTGGTTTGATACAGTTAATATTTTGCCTTAGTTCAAATTTTTTATAAAAAGATTTTAATCATTTTATCTACCGAAAAAGATTGGTTAATCATTTTATCTACCGAAGTTGTAAAAACAGTTTCAGTCGCTGTATAAATGAGAAAATCGCAACCAACCAACAAAAGTAATGTCAACAATAGCTTATTCCCAATATGGGAAATTCACTAAAAAGTATTTTATCATTGACTATATGCAGAGTAGACTTTCCATCTATTGTAAAATTTGAAGCCAAAAAACGTGGTGCAATCTGTTGAGATGGTCTACCAAAATGAAAATAAAATTCTGTGTTAAGTGATAAATCAACCAGCTGTTAACACGGATTTTAATTAATATTCAACCTATTCAACCCAATACACTAGTACCCTCTGATGAGTAAGAACGTCATATATTTTCTTGGCTTCAATTTCTTTTTGGATGGGAAGTCTACTCTGTGTAGGCTATAGTCAATGATTTTACAGTTTCTCAGGAATTGTATCACTTTGGTGGTCTCTGACCAGATGTTTGTGCCTTGATTCACTTAGCCCTCGATTACGCAGTGACAAACAAACATTGTGTGATGACGTCACCATGTACAGATCCGTTGTTTGTATCGTTGGTCATGATATATTAGCTCTCGCTGACTCGACTGCGCTCGTCGTATTACCATTGACTTTGAATACCGGTAGTGCATGTAGACTTCTGGTGTAAAATTTGAAGTCCTGTTTTGATGTATTTAAATTTGGTGACGTGAGCGCGCTTATGTCGTCTAAATTGAAGTTTAGGGTGCATTTTAAGATATGTATATGCTTTACTCTTTTACATCTGTTCAATTCAGTTTCCATACATTTAAAGTTGGCTCAATAACAAACAAAAAATAATAAAAAAGTTAATCGACTAAGAATTTTAGTATCGCCAAAGATCAAACTCGATCGTTTATAGATTCATACTATTATACTTAAGACAATAAGGTTAGTTCTGTCCGGGTATGTAGAGAGTGTTTAGTTGTAAAACTATTTGTTTCTGGCTGTTTAACAACTTAAAATTTTTTGCATCGTAGGCAGAGCACTCTATTTACAACGTATTATTTAAATTATAGGAAACTTAATTTAATAATGCGGACGCGGTTTAATTCAGTGAATTAATGTTTTAAATTTGTTATTATAACGAAAGAGTAAAAAACAAAACAAAAAATCCGCTCTGATATAAAAGTGAAACACTTGCACTAAAGTAACAAAAAGAATAAACTCTAATCAAACCAACAGGATAATAGATAAATAATAAATAAAACAACCAATCTAGTCCCAAAATCTATGGTGAAATATAATTATGTTTCATGTGTGATTAGGTAGAAAATCACCTATCATTTGATGTCTTGAATAAATACTTCTGATGTCATCAGATAACTAGTTTCAAACAAGGAATGAAGACTTTTTTGTTGTCAATTATTTAAAAAATACTTAACTTGTTCAATGTTGTATACGTTGATAAATACTGGCATTATTCTGGTATATAATAATTATTAAGCAGAAATATTCAAATCCAACGGTTCGTTTAAAACTCGCAAATAATTGATAGTTCTATGAATAATAAAGTGTAAATAATTGGGTATGACAGGTAGGTACACTCTGTTGATCAACTCGAGGGTTGTACAGTCAAGGACAAGACTGCCAATCAATTGTTCGATACTATGATATCCAGGAGCTTAACTACTTCTCAGGCTCAGCCTATCAGTTCGTTCTACTGTAAAGTATATTTTGTGTTCACATCTTTATTTGTTCAAATGGAAACTTATGTCTTTTACAGATTGTTTAGGGTTTCCGAGTTGAGGCATTTTCTGACTATAAATCCTTGGATCTACGATTCTAATACAAGAATGTTTTATAGCCTCAAATAAAGTTGGCAAATGCTATTGTGAAGCAATAATTATGAAAATATGTGCGGGGAAATAGATTTGTTTTAATTTGTATCGTTAAAACTATATGTTTCAAAATAATAACTTCTTAGAAAACAATTATTTGTACCAAAGTAAAAACTGACCGTTGGGTTATCGCGTAGTCTCGTGACTTTTAACCTCGATCACTTTCAATTATAGTAGGTTCCTACTTTGACTTTGAATACTGCAATAGACTTCTCATCCTATTGTTGTAAACTCTGGAGCGTGTTTAGTTGCGATTCATGTCCTGTTCCGTTTGAGTGGTCCAATGTCGACTCGATGTTTTTCTCTCGAGGTAAATTTTACAGACAGTTCTTTACAGGGTTACTATAATCATTTTGTGAATTGCCTATGTAGGTAATAACCTATTATTTAGTTTAAATGCATTTCTATTAAATTATAATTTACAAATAGTAAACATTCAAACGCATTCTAAATTCTGGACAGAAACACAGCTGGAAATTAGCGTCAGCTGATAACTTTATCACTATCAATCCTATCAATCAAATGGACTCATCTAAATCGTAGTTTAACCCAAATAAGGACGCTAGATTAATGTGGGGATGAGTCAGCCACATGTAGCTTTGTCACTGACTACGATCAGCTGTTTACTAGCCGCTACCATTAAATGGGCTAATGTTCAAGAACAGCTGTGTACAAACTCACCAAAACATGCCTTATGATCCATTGGATGACAAATACGAGAAATGATTACTCTATGTTCCCCCTACAAATTTGATGAAATGAAAGCCCGATGATTGACAGCCGAGTCCAGTTTCAGTTTCGAACTATCGAAAAGCGATTGACATCCTTAGGCACACCTAGATGGAAGACATCCATAGATCGGTTGACATCTATACATTATCATCCATAGATTGACATCATATAGGGTGACAAATCTAGGGATTTTTCACTCTATTAGTTCTTCCTAAAAAAAGTTATTGCTTTACCTTTGTTGTTGTTTCTTGAGTTCACACCCAATCGTAATCTACAGCCAAGAACTATCGAAAAGCTACTAACAAAAGATGACAAACTTAAGATACATTTTCTGTGTGGTTCCTTCTACCAATTGATCCCAAAGAACAGCTCGGTCCATTTCCGAATCCCCAAAAGAAACTGACTGTTCCTAGGATGACAAATCTAAGAATTGTATACAAATACTCTAGTTTCTCCTACCTGTCAAGGGAGAGACTCCTGGGTGGAGGCCAGGCGTCCCGGATGGTCCAGAGGAGCTCCTCAATAGTGGGCGGAGTCCTCGGTACCAACGACGCCCCTGGAATCACCAAATAGCAGGGTGAGGGGATGTACCACCAATCCATCGTGGAAACACAAAAACTCACATACACACAAACACTCGAATATCACAATGGATACAACACTGTCACAATCACTTCAAGGACTTCATGAACTACATTTGACTGCGAATATCCTCAAAATGCACGCATCCGCGGCCCCATACGCGCGGTGCCCCGGCCTCCGCCACACTGGTTATTTCTTAATTGAACGTCGACAATTCTACGCCGCGCCACATCCTCTTCCATCGCCCTCTCGGCTTACACTAAACACTGAACCTCGGCAATGTGTTGGATTAGGTCTGTATCACGCTTGAAACACACTAATTAATTAGATGCAAAGGAAGCTCGGCACACTGGTGCAGTGTTAATTTAATTACTGAAGATGTTAAGGTTTAAAAGTTGCTCTGGAAGAATTTAATAAATTTAAATTTGTAGATGAGAATATGTCTGCTGTTGCCAGTTATTAATTGATAAGTTATTGTTTATAATTAATTTATTTTTGTAAGAAAACTTACAACCTGAAATTGTGAAATAAGAGAAAAATAGTATGTGTGCTCCCACGACTCACTCTAAATTTTTTGTCTCTTCCTTCCTAAAAGCAAATTTAGCAAAGCGAATTTTACGAAGTTGAATTAATCAGATTGAAGACATATTGCGTTTAAAACAGATAATTACCAACCTTAAAGGATTTTTCCTATTTTGTATTCGCTATTTAACTTTAATTCTTAAGTTCTACCGATATCTTTTCAGATTCCTTTGAATATTCTCTTTTCGGAATAAACCTATTTCTTTTCCGAGGTAATACGAAATTCTTTCAACTTTTATTACAGTTCAATGCATTATATCACACCTTTTACTATTCAAGGGACTAAAAATTGTCACGATACCGTGGACTTAGTTCAAAAACAAATTCCTACACAATAATTATAAATCACACTACAACATCCCCTCCTAAAATTATAATTCGAAACCAACAATCAAAATACTCTAATTATCCTCCTTAATAACATCACTGAAAGACACTTCGCCTGGATACAAATAACCTCATAATATTGCTATAGTTAGTATGATGGAACCTGTCGCCTGAGGCTCCTACTGGGACTGCTGGCACGGGCCTTAATTAGCCAATACCCAGGTAGGTGGAGGATTGGGAGACAGGTTCCATCATACAGACTATATAAACCCAGACAGTGCAATAATGCCGTGCAGTCTTGACATTTTCGGTGCAATTATTTATATTAGGCTATTGTCGTGCACTGCCGCCACACACGCATGCTAGGGCCGCGACCTAAATAATGTCCGACTACTTGACTACGACTTGTGATTGACGCAAATTTGGAGTGGGCGAGACCTTCATCCTTGGTAGTTTGTCACTTGATGACTTGTTAGTCAGAATTCCGAGAATTAGGACTTTGTAGCTGAGAAACAGAATTTCACTCATAATTTTCATTCGTAGGGCCTAATAAAGGTGCATCCATAACATGACCTAACCTAATAAAGGTGATTCCATAACATAACCTAACCTAACCTAATAAAGGTGCATCCATAACATGACCTAACCAAACCTAGCCTAATACAGGTGCACACATAACATGACCTAACCAAACCTAACCTAATAAAGGTGCTTTTATAACATAACCTAACCTAACCTAATACAGGTGCATCCATAGCATAACCTCACCTAACCTAATATAGGTGCATCCATGGCATAACCTAGCCTAACCTAATAAAGGTGCATCCATAACATGACATAACCTAACCTAATAAAGGTGTATCCATAACATAACCTAACCTGATATAGGTGCATCCATGGCATAACATAACCTAACCTAATAAAGGTGCATCCATAGCATAACCTAACCTAATCTAATAAAGGTGCGTACATAACATGACCTAACCTAACCTAATAAAGGTGCATCCATAATATAACCTAACCTAACCTAATAAAGGTGCATCCATAGCATAACCTAACCTAACCTAATAAAGGTGCATCCATAATATAACCTAACCTAACCTAATAAAGGTGCATCCATTTTCGAGTTCAAGTTTTAGTTAGATAGAGTCTACGGATTGGGCTACAGACTACTGTGGCACGATTTTGATAAAATTTGGTATGTTGGTATTCATCCATATCTCCAGCAGTTTATCTTTTTTTATTTAGATTTTTAAAGATGATTTATCCATTAAACCCATAAAATAACAGAAAATAGAATTTTCACAAAAATGGCTTAAGCGAATTTGTTTCAAATCTAGTCTACAAATGGCCTTTTAAACTCTAAAAAATTGCACTCCACTCCCCAATACTAAAAAAATGACGGTTCGAAATATATTGCAATTGTGATTTTATACATGAAATAAAGCTACTCCCACTCCCACCGTTAACCAATAAGGGCTTTTGACAAACTAATGTAAGTATGTGTCAGTTTGCTGATACCGTTTATTTAAATGAGCGCACTTTGTAATAGATAATATTTTAAGTAGCTTTGACGTTTTAGTACGTAATTAGTAATATGTTTTCTACTCACCACTGTCTTACAATGTAAAAAGTACACCTAAACCTTTTAACTAGTTATCCGGTGTTTGTTGATTGAAAACAAAGTTTTAAAGTAATGAATTAGCTATTAACTTTGTTGTCTGTTTTAGACAGGCATTGATTGATAAAATAACAAGATATAAATAGTGAACAACAACAATTCGGACACAGAACCAACGTTAAAATTGTCTTCAACTGCTCCATCGGGATTATTTACATCTACTTAAGTAGATAAACAGTTTAATTTAGAGTTACATGTTCATGATCGTGGCGCAATTCAAGTAAGATGGGGCCGTTTAAAAGTTGTGTAACTACGTCAAGTATTGAACCACTGTACCTGCAGTAGGTCACGCTTGGAGCTGTATAAATAAAATTGTTTTGTTTATTTCAACAGCACATGTACAAAGTTGCATGTTTGTACAATCACTTTATGGAATAGTATTTACTATAAACAAGTAATACAACAATGAAAAAAATAGAATTTATTGTATAGCAACATAAATAAACAAAACTGCCAAGTAGCATGTTCCATTTCCATACATGTGTATAAAAGTTGTAGCATTGACTTGAAATACTTCTAATTCTATTATGAAGCCTGAAATGGGTTTGTTCCTCTTTCTATTAATAAATTTAATTGACGAATACTTGTTTTGTCACTAAACGTAATATTGCAAATATAAGTGTTCATTTTCTCGTGTACACAACAAAATAAAATAAATTCATAACGTGGATACCGAATTATGTAACTTTGAAGGTTTAGAAGGATTTTTATTTATTCCGATTTCATTAATCATTCGATGTCCCAAAATGTCTACATCGAGTACATCGATACGTAGGCTACTGTACATCGAGACCTACACATTTTATTAATTTTTCACTAAATACATTTGTGCGGATTCTAAACGACCAAAAAAATGTAACCTTAAACAATCAACAGTTTTTAAAACCTATTATTTTGGAAACACAGCAAACGTTTATCTTTCAAGAACATAGCTTATCGAACACTAGTAACAGAATGTTATTTTATGGCTGCATGACATTCATTGGTGCACAACACGCTGTCTTGGTTCAGCGAAGTTGTGGAATTGTCGGCGTATTTGTACATCACACTGTACACTGTACAGAAATGTGATTAGTCGTGTACTGTATTAATTATTGGGTGTTTGATTGTTGATCAATTGTGTTGATAAAAACTGTGCTGTTGATAAATTGATTAGATTTCTACAAAATAAATTAGGTTTGTTGTAGAAGAACCTCTTTAGTCCAAAATTGAAGAGTTAAATAATTTGCCTTTCAGCGAAAAAGTTAACGCGATTGTTCATATCATGGAGAGGGAATCGATTTTTGAAAACAAAAATGATCCAGCTGTTCATTGAGCTTAATAATTATGGGTCTTGCTTAACAAAGCTTCACATTGCTTCTCACTCTACTTAAACCCCATTCTTTATTTACATTTTTTTTATAATACGCTAAGTCACGTTCCTATCTTAATTGGTTGCATAGTAATTTTTGCAATGTAAGAGGTAGCATGTGGGGTGGTAATTCATTCGAATTTGTATAGGTAAAGCAGCGGATAACAGATTATTAAAGTCTAAATGTTTACAACAGATTTAATAACATCGTCATCATTTTAAACAATTACAAATAAGGGAAATACTTAAATATTACCCAAAAGAGAATTTGGGCCGATTTCGAGCAACAGGTATACAGATATACTAACACTGACAGAAGGTACAACAACCCTAATTTACATGATATTCAAATCTGCTGAGGGAAATCCCCTGACTCACGGATTGTAATATACACGCTATATTTTGCATTTTATTTCGTAATTTTTATTTATTCATTAAGGTTTTACACTAAAACAGAAGATGTATTAGCCCGTTTCCTAATCATTAATTGGCAATTAAATAGCTATCCTCTAGGAGTTTTGATATTTAACAATAATGTATATCGATTCCAAACTAAAACTTCTTTGATTTTCATAACAAACCAAATATGGAATTTTGAAAGTAGAATGTCCCATAAATCAGTATTTTGGGAGCTATTGAAAAGTTTTGAAAGGACTATTTTTAGTTGCCAGTTAGCGTGTGTGTGGGCCGAATTACCGAAATAATCTTTCGCGTTCCAAGAAATGAAAGTACGTTTACATTTGGATATGTTTAAATCCCATTTTATTTTAAATACAATGGTAAAGTAATGCACTCGCACACACAGTACAAAAATATCTCTAACAATACTAATTTAAGGTTAACAAAATATTCCTAGTGGAAAAGTTTTATTGTGTTTACTATTACACTTTATTGGAACTATACCCAGCTGTCCTTGATTATTGGACTTTTTTAATAATACTGGCTAAAAACAGCTGATCGTGGCAACAAAATTTTACAGCCAATTCAGTCTATACTCACTCTGTACAGTAATATTCGGCTTAGAATACCAATACAAAATAAGACGATAGTGAAGTGTTTATAAATGTATCTATGACGTAAAATACCATATGGGGAAAATACCCTCGGAATCCTTGAGGTATAAATAAATAAGGGTTGGTTTAGTTACCTGTTAACGTAGTGGTATCCG